ACATTTTGCAATCTTAAATTTTAATTAGGCTAATTTGAAATCTATTAAATTTAGAAATAGTTGCATTAATAGAATTTTAAAATTAACTAATAAAAATTTAAATTTCATAGAAAAATAGGACAAGTAATTCACCTAAAAATATTGCTTGGATTGCAAACTAGTGTTGTTTGAGGTAAGGTGGACGAGCAATATATGAAGTGCCCTGATGGGATGGACAAGCTGAACTCCCCTAAAAATAAGACCAAGTAACTCATCTAAAAATATTTCTGAGATTGGAATTGAACCTGACGATTAGACTCCAAAGGCTGCAAATACTTGGAAATTGATGTTGTCCGAGATGAGATGGATGAACAACAAATAAAATGTCTTGATGAACCGGCAAGCTGAACACAAAAGGTTAGAGGCCCTGAGGTGGTTCCCTGAAGAGGAGCATCCCGAGGCTCAAATTAGTGAAGGGAATGAAGAAGTTGGCTACTCCTTGATTTGAGGGATACATATCGTGCCCCGAGGTCCCTTAAATACTTGGGTGGCATGCCCTTAAACACTCGTGTGAGAGGCAAAGAGAAGGGTGAGGTCCGACCAATGTTTGCCTCGTATTCCTCTCCATCTGAGGTCCGTTGCGTGTATTGTTGCCCCTTGTGCAAAGAGTGATAGCATGCCACATCATCATTCCACACGTCAACTACGCTGTATTGCCTGGCCAGATGTTGTCCACATCATCATCTACATGGCAGCTCAACCAGGGTGGTTGATGCCCCCATCACAAAGCAATCGAGAATGTCATATGGGGTTCTTTCTATCTTATGACTTCTACTTCATTTTCTCTCAGTATATTATATATATATTATCAATTATATTATTCCTGACATAAAAATAATTAATCCTAATATCTTAATGGCAAATGGGTAAAGATGTAAAGGATTGAAACGTTTTTGATAGGTTGTCTTCATAAAGGATAGAAACTAAACTAAATTGTTTCTTTTATTTATTTATTTTTAATTCTTTTTAAGAGGTATGTCACACACACTAATCGGAGTGGGTTTGGGTCAGGTGGTGGACAAATACCACCCTGCCTATCCCTGGTCATTAGAGTTTCGGTTTCCCTAAAACCTGCCTTGAACCTAGTCAATGATCAAAAATATGCCCCAATCGGGGCGGGGTAGGCCAGATTGCCATCTTTGATATGGAGTTGGATGGAAGTAATAAGAATGACTCAAGTGCCCCTAATTTAACAAGATGATGATGCTTTTGTTTGATAATCTTATAACAATATGATGATGAATTTATGCATTCAAAATGCATACCCACTTATTACATCATTTCTCCACATTATATAAAACAAAGACTCCAGTTTAATTTATTTCAAATGGATGAGATTAACAAAACGAGGCCTCCATTGAAAATTCGAGGGTCTCCACAGAACAGTCCTTGTATTTGTTTCCTTTCTTTTGATTTTGGGAAAATTTCAGTTTAATATCAACTTAGAAAACTATCAATTTAGTCTAAAGTCATCATTAACAGATGTTAAGTGGTATGTGAAATAACACAAATGCCCTTTCGGCGTCATCTAATTTTCTTTACAAGGAAGAAGACGATGAACAAGTATTTCGCTCGGTTTCTCTATAAACTAAATAAATACTTTTGCTACCCTCAAAACACGAGCACATTTGGAGTACAATACTGTGTTCCCCGGTGAAACAGTCAGTGGCTTTCGGTTGCCCTGCTCATCCAGACTCCAGAGGACCAGGTGCTACTGCAATTACCTGCTTAGCACCACATGAATGAATATGTTCAGGGCTTCACTTAATATGCGATGTATCGATCCAATTCTACTCATTAAACAGAGAAGCATATGTCAATGGTACTTCCTGTTCTTGCCTAAAGCACAACAGTCTCTGTTCTACTTTATGCATAGAAGAATTCTCATACAACTTCCCTCCTCTCTATTACCTACTACCACCACCACCCTGCTTACGAAATGATCCTTTTAAGTAACAGAAGAAATAAATCTCACCGTGCCAATGGAAGGTTTCTCCTTTGTTGCCTCTGTCAGCAGCAAGCCACCAGCAGTCTTCTGTTCAGCAGCTTCAGCAACCTGGAATCAAATAGACATGAACGATACAACCACAGATTACCAAAATATCAAGAAATATCCAAGTGAACACTGAACAACTATGACAATTTGTTTTGAGGAAGCCCAAATTATTCCATGATGCACCAGCTTAGAACAACAAAGAAAGGAGACACACCTTGATTAGAACACGGTCAATCAGGGGCTTGAGATCCTTGATATCGTCTGTCTCAAGAATGCCCACAATGTCATCCACCTTCAACAGTAGATAATTGGATCCATTGAACTCCAACTCTGTCCCCGTATATTTTCAGTAGACTATCTGGGTACCAGCCTGCCAGAAAGAGAAAATTAGTGGAACTTAATCAACTACATAAATAGATACGCTCCAACCATACTGAGATTGAAAATCACCTTGACATTGATGTCAGCTTTATTCTCTCCAACAGTCCTTCCCTCCCAAACGGCTACAACTTCACCTCCTTGAGGTTTTGTTTGTACAGTTGAAGGGAGTAGAATACCACCTACAGTTTTCTCGTCTGCAGTTTTGATCTTTACCAGAAAACTCTATCGCCCAAGGGTTTGATGGAAGTGTACCAGTACAAAATTGATAACTCTTTCGCCCAGGTTCATTTTTTACCATCTTAAAGGAGTATAACTCCGGGAACTACTACGGACAGTGGAGCGTCGTCAGCCGGTTGCACGACTGAGCTGATCACTCTGTTCCTGAAAAGGTTAGTGGCGATCACCTCCGGCTGCTCAGTGGTGGAGCCATGGGCTGCTATCGTCTGTTTCGTTTAGATACGTAACGTGTTTTTTGGTTAATTTGTGCAAAAGCACTTTCATTTGATGTCGTTTAATTTCAATTTTAAGGAAGAAGATAATGAATAATGTTTAAGGGTAATTTTGGAATTTTAGAATGTTATAAATCATATATTACATTACATGTGTCAGTTAATTGATGGATTATTAATGGCGGGTACTAAATTAAGCTTGAATACTGCAGTGACAAAGTTTGAAATTCCTCAAAGTTTAGAGTACTAAACTGAAATTTTCCCTTTATATTTTTAATATAATTTTTGATTTTTACCTTAAAAAAGTTGGAGACTCTAGCCAAATTGTACAAATGCAATCTTGTGGTCAAGTTTTTCATATCCAAGACTGGGACTGGAGAGGGTAGTTGCATTTGAAGGATTAATATGTGCAAAAATTTCTGAAGGATTAACCATTTTGTTTGAAATTTCTCAACAATTTGTTTGAAATTGGCACGTAACAATGCAACTTCATTAATATTTACATTGATGTTGTGTAAATGTTATTTCTTTGTGCAGCAACTCTAATTAATGCTTTTTAGCTTAGGCTTTGTTTGTAGTGCAAATTTGGAGAGGATACAATAATTACTATGATTTGCAGTCCAATCAATGTAAAATTTGCAGTTATTGCCTCATTTGCACTCATTGGCAGAAATCAACAAGTAATTCTGTTTAGTGGCAACCAGAGGAAAAAATCCCTAGGCCTTGGGTATTTCAAATAACGGGTGGAAACCTTCTTCATCCTCCTCATCTTCATGATTGCTGCAAGTGGGCCTCGAGGTCTCTCCATAGTCATCATTCTTTGCAAATCTTCCTCTAACTCGAGGTCGGCTATCAGCTAAAGTTTTACGGCATGCGTACTGCGGATTATTAGTCATCGTCAGCAAGTGATAATTAAAGCAGAGAGGGTAAAGCAGAGAGAGAGAGAGGGAGAGAGGGACCTTGATTTTCTTACTGAAATTCCTCTCATTTCTCTTCTTCATATACCTATGTATCTTCTCTTTCCTTTCTTCAACAGAGAGTCGTCCAACTTTATAGGTGGGTTCTTCCAAGGTAGAAATTTCTGAAGTTAGAGAGGAACTCCCACCACCATTCACCAATTGTGTGCTATCATTGTTAATGGCCTTGCAAAACTGAACAAATAAATAAATGGGCGTCTATGGTTATCATTCTTTCTTCCCATGACTAACAATTTAGGTTGTGTTTGGTTTGATAGGAAAATAAGATCGAGAAACACAAAGTAAACCAAATACAGCCTAAGGCTATGTTTTGTTTGAAGGAAAAAAAAATAGGGAAAGGAAGAGAAATGGAAGGAAACCTATACAAGGTTTGTAAAGGTTTCTCTGCCTTTCCCTTCCTTTTTCTACTTTTTCCTTCAAACCAAACGCAGCCTAAAGGAATAATAATATACACTACCTGAAGTTAAAAGGTTTCCCTTTAACATTCATTGAATCCTATTCTTGATTAGAATATCCTATTTTTGAATGATCCCTTTATAATTGTGATAGCAGAAAATGTAGTTTGAAGTACTATATTTCTTCTCATTAAATTCCTTCTTATTAAGTTTTATATGTACTGTATTAACTCTCATTCTTCCATTTAATCCAATATTAATTAATCATATTAAAGAAAACTAAGTGCGACAAAGAATAAAAAATAAAATACAAATATAAAACCACCACAAAGATGGAATTGTTTTCCTGTTTGGTAGTAACTCAACAATTCAACCCTTTTTGGATCAAATGTGTAAACCCTTGATGTAGTAGTAGTAGTAGTAGTAATAATAATAATTAAAAATATGAAAGCACACAAAAGTATAAAAAATACAAAAAAAAAAAAATTGGATACATCTCTAATATTGTATATTCATCATATTAAACAAAAATAAGTAGTGACAAATAAAAATAATTTTTATAGAAATAGAAATATAAAAACATTATATAAAATTTTGGAAACATATTATTTACTTCATCACCATCATAAAAAATTATCATATATAAAAACATGTACACACTTACTGGTGTAAAGAAAAGGTAGAAAAAATTATTTTGTTTATCAGATGATATCCAAACAGGATCTATGATTCTATATAACTTATGTACGTAATTTTAGACTTATTAAAAAAAGTTGGTATATATTAGTTCTGGTGACAGTACCTGCACATCTCCAGAGCTGTAAACCCGTTGCAATGAATTTGAAGCATAAAGGTCACAACTGTCTCCAGGGAAGTCCAGTTCTTGTGGATGAAGGTCAGAACCCATCAGAATACTTCCTCCAAATAACCCAGAGGCATCAGAAGAAATGGCTGTACTCAGATTCCCCGGCAGGAAGGATCCCATGGTGGGATCAAGTATTGAACAAGGAGATGATGGGTCCAAGTGCACTAAAGGTAATGACAGGCCATCATCTTCAAAAATAGCTGGTAATGGAGGTCCCGTAACAGGGACGGATGGGTCAGGAGAGTATGCCGAGAACCCATTGGCAACATCAGTTAATGGGATCTGCACTTGCAACGCAGAGAGATCAAACTGCTGGTCTGGTTGATTCCCAAGTAGTGGAGGTCCCAGAAATGTTGTTGATGGTGGTGAGAAGCTTATGGAAGCAGAGATGTCATTGTCGTTCTCATCTTGAGAGTCGAAGATGATTGAGAGGTTGTTGGGAGTGGGAGTGGCAGGGCTGATGGTAGAGGTGCTATTGGTGGAATTGATGCTGTTGATGTTATACTTTCCTACTTCTATTGGGAAGGAAGAGAATGAAGAGGAGAAATTGGTGTAAGAACTATCTTCATAGCAGCAGTTTGAGCAGGAAGAGACCTCAGAGTTTTGTAGGGTTTCTGGGAATAATTCTTGTTCAGAAAATTCAAACATTTGAGAGCTAATCGGGCTGGAGATATCCTCCTGTCACATGTCACAAAAGAAAAATCAGGTAAAAATATGACACATCTATTAGGAATAATGAGTTTTTCCAAGAAATTAATTTTAGTTTGTAATAGGATTTATTTAATTTAAGATGATGTTCCTCAAGGAGGTAGGGTAATATCAATCCAAACAATATAATTAAACATTTTAATATAAAAAATCGATTAGGAATTGAATCAAATAGGATACAAGGTATATCCAAAATCGATTTATTTATATTCGAATTGAAATAGAATCTTATCCATTGGATTTATATTGGATTTGAGTCGATCGAATTTGGGTTGCAATTGGATATTGATTAACATTAATAGATTAAACTAAAATGATCAAAATACTATATATTATTAATAAATGAACTATAAATGTCTTCGATATGTATATCATGAATATATATATATATATATATATATATATATATATATATATATATATATATTGAAAATTGAAGCAATTGACTCTTTAGTAAAAAGACGACACTCTCACACTAGACTAAAAAGATAAAATATAAATTAAGTACATATAAGCATATACATTTAAATCAAATCTAATTGGATTGTTTCGGATCGGATGGGGATGGGTCCATATTTGATCCATTTATAGTGGAATCAAATTTGGATCACCCTTAGCTGGATCGAATTTAGATTTCGATAAACAGAAATCATTTGCAGCCCTAAACTATATAACTCAAGAGATAATCTAAGATGAGTATAGATATGCATTCTTAATAATCTTTAAGCCCTATGCTATGAAAATTTACCTAGCTATTTTCTGTGGACTGCTTAACTGAATAGTCCAACCATGAATAAATATTCCAACTTTAGGTGTCCTATTGCAGTCACTTAGCTGTATGGATTTTATACGCAAAAGGAAGTATATATATATATACACACACGGAGTATATTGAAAAAATAATAATAACTCTCTAAGTTGGCATTAGCCAAATTGGTCCTATCACTTGGTATATTTAAAAATAAGGAACCAAGCTTGAGAAAATGTAGTAAGGTATCACCACTTTAATTGTACCAGTGTTAAAAAGTGGTATAAGTGAAAGTTGAAGGTTCTAAAGGAGCAAGGGGTCAAGGGGAAGCCCAGAAAGGATATAGGATGTGATGACGAGGAAGGATCTAGAGACCTTTAGCTTAATGGGGGATATGGTTCCTGATAGAGGAACTTTGTAACAGGATTGATTGTTCACGTATATATAGGATAAAGCTTTATTGAGTTGATTTTTTTTTTTTTGTTGGTAAACAATTAATTAAGTTGGGTTGAATTGAATTTCTTCAAATATTGAATATTTCTAGCTATTAAGTTCAAATATTGAAGCAATAGAAAAAAGCTGTTCAAATATACAAAGATAAGCATATTCCAGTCAACCAAAGCAACCATGGTAGTAATCAAGAGAAGATTAATTATATTATTCCATTCTTTTTCCTACCACAGTGATCATCTACTAACACAGTACTGCCAACAATAAATGTTGAACATGAAAGGACTATAAACATAGATATACATAGAATCATCAAGTGGAGGAGAAGATCAAAGATTTGCTACTGTTTAAACCATATGATGGCATGAGCTTAGGAATCACGAGCTAATAATAGTTCTTCTCTATGGCAAATTCTAGGGACAATATAAAAGAAAATTGTTTAAATTGGCTTCATTTGTTTGAAGTGCAACTTTATTTATATGCACTACTACAAATGCATGAGAATGCAAATTCTGGGTTCACTTGGGATTTGGGTTTCACTTTATTTTGCTTCAGGTTTTATATTACTTCATTTGCACTGTCATACTTTTGCACCAGAGCAAATGAAATTGCATGGCAAACAAACCAAGCCAGGAAATCCATCACCAAAAGTAATACGTAACTTTAAACTAGAGGGGCCCAAAATAGTTCTCAAAAAGACACTTTAGGTAGCTCGAGAGCCATGATGAGAAAAGGTTGAAACATATATGAGAAGCTTGAATGGGCATCCCAACTTAATTAATTACCCAAGTTACTCATAGTTTGCTTACTACAAACCAAGCTTTTCTTAACCTAATATACAAGGCACAAGGCACAAATTCTCTGAAGTAGGATGGTCTCATCACGAATTTTATTTGTCAAATACGTGCAAATGAGAAACAAAAGATTGTACTGGGCACCATGTGACATGTTGGGAGTTAGGAACGTACTAATTATCAAATAACAGTATCAACATCATGGAAAAGTGACTGATGGTGTGTTGTTCTTGTTTAAGAAAAACAGCCCAGATGACCATAAAAAAAAGTTGGAAAAATCAACCAATGGGAATTTGAAATCGTTTTACTCTTTATATTGTACTTGTTTTTCACTTTTAGGGATCCTTGTATATTGAAATCTAACTGCATTAAGGACCAAAGCTGGAAAACTTAGGCTAGAAGTTTAAGAATTAATGTGTAGTAGTCTAGCTGTGAACATTGAATAAGAGTCTGAAAGCTTCACCTTCATGGGTAGCTTCAATAATCAATGAATTCATACAAACAAAGGAAAATTTTGAAGGGGATCAATTAAAACAGACTCTTAGATAATGACTGATTGAGAAACCACCCTTAGTGGGTAGCTTGGGAATTGATGAGGTTAAGATGCATTACATGACTTGAGAGACTCAATTGATTGTGAATTGTGAGAGTTCATGGAGCTCAGGCTGATTTTTTTCGGTTTTGAATATCACATGGGTTTTAAGTAGCTCCTTATCTGCAGCTTGATATATTGCGAGCAGTGCTTGTTTTTGAAGCTCAAATGGAAGGAAAGTGTGTCATCTCATCAGCTTCCTGTGTTTCTGGGTCAATCAAGCTTCGGACTCAAGCTCTCTGAAAGCCCGCCATGAGCAAAAAGTTCCAAGGTATGAGATGGAGTATGAAAGGGAAACAGGAGCTAGCGTTGGAAAACGAACATTTTGAAATCCAGTTAGTGTTGGAAGAAAGAGCTAGCGATAGATTATTTCGTTTCAGACAAATAACAGAAACCCATATGGATAAATATAAGAATTTGTCCCAAAAATGGGGGAGAAAGAACAAAACAAACTATATGAATGAAAGAAAAACAAAAAAAAAAAACAAAAAAAAACCCATATAAATAAATATGAACAGAAGACATGCAATTGCACTCAGAGGTTTAAAGGCTGGAAGGTTTACGTACGATGGAAAGCTGTTGTTCGGGTGGATGAATCATGTCTTGTAACATCGCTCCTTCTTGATAGAATTCACAGAACTCTAATCTTTTATTCTCTAATAATAGTAACAGTGGTAGCTGAAGAAAACTTCTTTAATGTATTCATCCTAATCTCCCTATAATGAAATGAAAATCAAAATAAAAGAAAAAAACTTCATTAGTGAAACAAAGAAGAAGATGGTAGAGATGTGAGAAAGATAGAGAAATCAAATAATACAGGAGAGAGCTTTCCTTATTTTCTCTTTTTCCTTGGCTGTTTCTGTGGAAGTCAGCGAGGAATATGAAGGGGGGGTTTAATTAGTTATATAGGATTTGTGATGGCGTACTTCATCTCGTCACCCTGGAACTCATGGTGCTGATTCCGTGGTGTAAGGGGAGCCGCGAGTTCCCTTCTGTGCCAGCGTGGATGACCTAATATACCAATGAACAGCCATAGGATTTTGACACGTCGGAATTTTTGTTCTGAGCTGGCATGTTATCTTGCTGACCTGTCACCGAGCATCTCGATATATAGAAAGAAGGTTAATTTTCATTGGTGTGAGTTCATTTGCTCAAGGTCCAGAAGAAATTGGATTGACCAAGCCTGAAACCATTTCCTCACCACTTCTTTCGCTTATAATACTCCGTTCCGGCGTCCCATGGAAATTATCTCTTTATAATTAAATGGAATTCCGAAAATATAGTCCCGCAGAATAGATGTTTGATGGTTCATGCCAATACCTGAACCCTACCCGTTGACTGTTGACTTCCCTAGACTAATAACAGAGATTAATGATGAATCTCTCAGTGATTTATATATGTTCTCAAAGTTGAAGTTGTTAAGCATTTTGTAAAAAGCCATTGCCTTTGTTTAAGGGTGGCAATTTGGCGGGTTGGGTCTGGGTTGAGCTTCACCACAAACCATCTAACCCGATTTTAATTCATTTAAATAAAATTATACAGATGAGTTGAGTTCAACCTGATTAAAATTGTCTTGACCCAACCCAGTTCACACAACCCATTAATCTTGCAATAATTTAAGTTTATAAGAATGGATTAAAGGTTAAAATCAACTTAATTATTTTTTTATAATTTGGTTATACATTGGCTATTAATAAGAATGGTTCTGTTTCACATTAGTGTTTATCAAGTGAAAAATTTAAATGGAGTTAATCATTTGGATTAGTAATTAATTAGAGTCAATTTTAATTTATAGTTAATGCATTTGAATTTAAATGGAAGGGCAGACCTATTAGTGGTCTGGAGAACTTACCAGATCGGACCGGTTGACTCTATCGGCACCTTTGTAAATTGGTTGTGTTGGACTGGTCCCATGTCTGGCATGTTTAACCAGATGGACTTCTAAATCTAGTCAATTGCCTTATAATTGGACAATTGGACTTCTAAATCATTTGAGGGGGTTTAACTTGAGCTAATTAATTGGACTTCTAAATCATTTGAGGGGGTTTAGCTTGAGCTAATTAATTCGGGTCGGGCATTGGTTGAATTATATATACCAAATCCATCCATTACCACCCCAACTTTACTTGGTATTAATTACAACAATCGAGTACAAGTTGGGTTAATGCTAGCATGGTTTTTAAAACCGAACCGGTGACTGAATCGGTCGGGGGTCCTGTTTGAACGGTTGGCTCATTCTGACAAAAAATTAAAAAAATTGAAAAACGGTCAAAACTGTTTGAACGGTTCAAATGGTTAACCAGTCGGTTCAGCGGTTTGTTGACCAAAATCAACGGTTTTAGAGAAAAAAGCAGTGTTGGGGAAAAACGGAACCAGTTAGGTGACAGGTGACTGGTTTTTCTAGTCCAACCGTCTGGTTCGGTCCGGTTTTGAAAACCATGAATGCTAGGTATTAATATTTTGAGTAAATAATCATTTCAAACAAATAATCATAAGTTAACGAGTTAATTATGAATTGAGAATAAATTACAACAGTTAATTAAGTCCATGAGTTATTTGAAATTAACGCTATGTTTGGTTTGAAKGAAAGAGTAGGGAAAGGAAGGGAAATGCAGGAAACCTATACAAGATTTATAAAGGTTTTCCTTCCTTTCCTTTCCCTACTTTTTCCTTCAAATCAAACATAGCCTAAATGAAGGGACAATGGAAATTAATAAGAAAATGGCTATACAACTTAAACATGCATCATATGCATGTGATTAATCCGATGAGTATCCACAACCTAATCTGGCCCAATCCATTTAAATTGATTCAACGAGTGATTTAACCTGTTTTCAACTGCTAGGTAAATGAATGGGTTTGGAAGGATTCAGTGAATTTGGTCTGGAATTGCCACCCCTACTTTGTTATCAGAGGAAAGTATCAGATCTTAGAATTGGAACAGTTGTACATGAAATGGGAGTTCCAATTTGAAGATGAATGATTTCTATATATAGAAGTAGACAAAGATTAATTGCCTGAGGTGAATGAACAACATTACTATATACATAGCAGATAACCTGCATAATTGTTTAATTATTGGAACCTGTATCTTGTGCTGAAACTTAATTAATTATAACAGGGGTAATGAGGACCGAACATTAGATCACTTGGTCAATGTGACTCTGATACCATTTCAAAGAACCATTCAACCTAAAAGCTTAAACTGTTAGGTGAGGTCCTTGAATAAGTCGAATAATATTAGATTTATTGGTATTGTTAGAGTGCAATGAGAATAAACATTCAAACCACATTCATTTTGTGTAAGGTGACAACAAAGTAGTTAATAATTAGTTATCAATGGTTTCAACAGGCAACAATTCAATAACACAAGCCGCACAACAAGGGCTAGTTGTATAGCTTCTTATTACAAGGGCCTAACCATTTTACTTATTCTCAGACTCAACTTGGGAATTGAAGAGTACATATTACAAATTACGTTCAATGCAAAAGCAAACCTTGTATATGATATTTCTAAATCTTGTATTAACACTCTTCCCAAATGGAGCCTTAGAACAAATCTGATCAAAAAGTAAACTAAAATATTTACACTCAACCAGCTATTTGCACTTCTATATTATGCACATTAATTCCTTTGGACTGCAATTTAACACTTGTATGCTAAATTGCTAATCGAGTAGTCGATAAGAATTCTTTCCATTTTCACCTGGCTAATTTTGCAACATGGAAAGATGACGTGGCTGGCCCACGTCAACTCTATACCCCACCATGCATGTTACCAGTGCATGCCTCCATTTCTCAATGCAAACCGTTTGATCAAATCTTTGTTTTACTCATGGTTTTTAAAACCAAACCGGTGACCAAACTGGTCAGGGGTCTGGTTACCGACCGATCGTTCGAATCAAATGCTCGGCTCATTTTGATAAAAAAATAAAAAAAAATTCAAAAAAATAAAAAACAGTCAAAATAATTCGAACGGTTAATTGCCCAATTCAGTGGTTCATTGACCAAAATCAACGATTTTAACGGGAAATTCAGTTTTTGGGGAAAACAGAACCGGTCACGTGACCGATTCCAGGTTTTTCCGGTCCGATCTGATTTTGAAAACCATGATTTTACTTCATAGCCTTAGTGTGGGTGCGTGAGCAGAATACAACCATGGGGGAACTAGCAGCCCTTTATATTCAATATTGCTGCTGGTACTAGCGAACATGGCACTGAACGAAACAAGTCACTGAATCTAATGCCATGTGCATGGCATTCATGCCCTACGTCGATTCTCCATCAGACGCTACAGCTGAATTTGGATCTGCTGCTCACAAAGACGCTACAGCTGCACAAAGGGAATCATGCATGCTATCTCCACCAATGATGCTGTAGCATCTTGCTGTGGGCAGTAGATCCCTTCACAATCAAGGAAGCCTATCGGGTTGAACATTTCTTAAATTTTGAAAGGCATTTCTTAAGGGCCCAGACCTGGTTTAGTGCATAAAATTAATCTTGCTCAATCCAATAAAACTTAGCATTTATTATATATATATATATATACACACTAGTAAATATGTTGAAATTTTAAATTACAATGACAATTATTATCATCACCATTATTACTATTATTACTAATAATAATAATATTATTATTTAATATGATAAATATATAACATTAGGAATGTCTCCAAATGTTTTCGACAAAATTGTACATTTTTCATTTTTTGTGTTCTATCTTTTTTTAAATATTTATTATATATCATTAATAAAAATATTTATTACATTTCATACTTAATTTTATTTAGTATAATGAATATATAATATTAGAGATATGCTCAATTCTTTATTTTTTGTATTTTTATATATTATTCATTTTGATTTTTTATTATTTGATTATGGCATTATTGATTAACTCATTTGACCCAAATGGTTGAATTGCTTACCCACCACTGGAAGGGAAAAATGGTTTTTTTTTTAATTTTTTTTCAAAATATTTATTTTTATATTATTAAAATCAATATTGTGGATTTAATTAATAGAATTTAATGATGAGAAAAATATATCTTAAATATATGATTTAATGTGAGAATATACCTTAGATATGAGACTCAATGAGAGAGAATAGAAAAATAATTTTATTTCCAAATGGTTTTAAATTTTATATTCCATTTCCATYATTAGTTAAAGTATTTCTTATTTATCATACTTATTCTTGTCTAATATGATGAATATATGATATTAAAGATGTTCCCAAAATTTCCTTTAATTTCTATATATTTTTTTGCATTTTATCAAGTTTTAATTTTTTTTATTATTTAATGTGGCAACAATGCAACAAGGGTGGGCATATTTGACCCAAAATTGCTTAATTTCTTACCACCACATAAAAATACTGCTTTTCTAAGTCAATTTCAAAAGTACAAGTTTTTATGTTATTAGAAT